CTAGGATTATAAAAAACTTTTCTTCAAATAAGTGTTCGTCAGAATCATCATCCGCTGGAAGGGTATTAAAAATAAAATCCACAAGGTCCTCTGGTGCAATCGCATTTTCTTGATTTGCTTTTATAGATTTATTTTTTTGTTCGCTCTTTTTTAATTTATTATTTGCAGAAATTTGTTTACGACAATCTATGCATGTTGTTAATTTAGGTGTATCAGCATTTTTACGTTTATTAGTTTTTAGACTTTCGAAAGTTTCGTTTGGTTTGTCAAGCTTACAACGATCACACTTCATAATATTGAAAAAAAGAAAAAAGGAGATTTACGTAACATTAATCAAAATACGTATATATACTCAATGCAAGCATAGCGGATATTTAACATCTTCATTATTAGAAATAACAGATATTAAATGTCCGCTGAACTTGTATGTAATAACGATATGAAACAATTATATATAATGATCAACATCACGTGATCTTCGAAATTTTTTTGGGTGGTGATTCTACCCTCGTAGTTATTATACACAAGTATATATGTATAGTATGTTATTTGATTACTATTATTAAATGGATTCGTATGATCGATAAAAACTTGAAGATGATAGCCCAAATTTGAATCTATAATATAATCTTTTTGAATGCTTGTAATTGTAGCATCAATCATAGGAATGATGTTGCGAAAATAAAGATTTCGCTTTTGAAAAAATTTATTTAATGATACTAATTGGCCTAAAACATCATAAATAAAATGAAAAAATCCTATCAATCTTCAATTATATAATCGTTGATATAGATTGCTAGCAACTTTACTATCGTTACTTTGAAGTTGTGAAAGTATGGCAGGTAATGTTTTAACAAAATTTTCAACAGCTTCATACCAGCCAAGCCATCGTATTTCTTTTAATTTCTTTAAATGGATCTCAGGACAATCAAGAATTCGTTGGTATTCTTGAAGGATATGAACTCATTTTGCTGAATTTTTGTAAAATTTATATACATCTTTAATAACAGTCTCAGCATTAGTAAAATAATCTAGCTGTTTTTGTGAATCTTTGCATGCTAATGCTAAATGATATGCAATGCAATGATTACAAATAATATAAGAACATATTTTAGATAATTTTTGAGCAACGCTATTTTTGTTTCCAATCATCACAGATGCACTATCTGAGGCAAAAGCTACTAATTTATCCATGATATCTATTAAAAAAAAAATAATTTAGTACTTAATATTAATATATAAAATATAAAATTTTATTATATAATACTTACTATAATTTTGAAACAACCTAATTAATTTAGTCGTTATCATCGCTGCATCACTTTGATCAAGTACAAGCAATTGCAAAAAATGTGTTTTGACATTTCCTAAGCTATTTGGATACATTATATAAATATCCATATACTTGTTTATAGCAATATCCGTACTCTTATCAATCATAATATTGAAAGATACAGCTTCGCCAATTTCTTTCCATATTTTAGCTTTGATTATATTTGATATAGCAAATGCAAACTCACGACCAGATACTTTATTTTCATAAGTAATTTGACCATCTATAATAAATGGTGACTCCAATTCACGAGACAATTGAACGAAGTAAGGAAGCTTGGATAATGGTATATCTTGCCTTATAAGTGTATATACGATTTTTAAAATTCTAACTATATGACCGTTGTTTTTTTGTATAAGTTGTTCTGATTCTTTGTCTTTTAATTTTTCAGCAGTATCAAGTTTTATTGCATTTATATGTTGTTCCGAAGATGTATGTTCTTTAACAGAACTTTTTTCGCCCAAAATTTATAGATCCTATAATGATAATATTTATATTATTAAATATTGTATATAAATAGTAATAATTTTATTTTATGCTGTACGTATTTGTTTACCTGTAGTTCCAAAAATATTTTGTTTTTTATAATGTTTGCAATATTTACAAAATATTCGTTAAAAAACTCTATCGTATTGAAGCTATCTAAATTCGTTGAGCCAAGAACTTTGAAAACTAGGTTTGGATTTCGTTATTACTTTTGATTTTTTTTTATTATTTTGATTGGTTTGATCATTTTTATCATTTTGACAACTTTGATCGCTTTCATAATTGCTTTCATAGTTGTATTGAATACTTTGATCATTCTGGTTACTTTCGCTTAGATCTATTAATTTGAAGATTTTTTTTTCTTTAAACTTGTAAATATATATATATATATATATTTAACATAGCAGAAACATATATAACACATGTTAATTGTTAGTAGTCTATTTTATTAATTTACGAAATAGCAGAAAATTTTCGATTGTTAAGAAATTATGCCAGAGATTTTCTCAGCTAATCGGAATCTCCGGTATTTTACAATAGGATTTTGTGCCCTGATGCCAACTATTTAAATTTGTGCCAAGGCATGCCATTAAATTATATGTACATAATACTGTAAGTAATTTCTATTAAAACTTTCCTATAACTAAAATTACATGCTGAAAACTTCTGAGTCGGAAATTAGTTATCATAGTAAATTTTTGTTATTTTTTTTTTTTATAATTATGTTTTTAAATTTGTTGTTATACAACCCGGTTTTAATCGTTTTGCCATTAGAAAAACAAAACTCTACACTAGGGTGTCCAGAATTCTGCGGTGCATAATTCTGCTCACTCTAAAAATATTTTTTTGTATTGTCTCCATAAGATAAGCGTGACTTTAATCATTTTTTAAAAACTAAATACAATACAAAAAGATATTTTTAGAGCGAGCAGAATTATGCACCGCAGAATTCTGGACACTCTACTCTACACCATATAAGATGGCATGCCTCAACTGGCAATGCTATAATGGCATGCAATGACTGCTATGCCAGGTACCCTATCTGCAAACTCATTTGCAATATTTACCAGTTAGAGATGTTAAAATGATCTAATGATTTGATCCAATGTCGGTTTATAACCGAGATATTATAGAAATATTCTACATAATTATAATTACAGAATTAGATTGGATCATTAATTCTTGAGATCGCGATCTGGACTAGAGTGTCCGGGATTCTGCGGTTTCAGAATCTGTGCAGAATTCTACTCCTGGTCTGCGAGCAGAATGAGAAATAATTGGCGAATACAGTCTATTGTGATAAAATTAGAATCTTTTTTTTGTTTTCGATTTTGTTCTAAAATATTATTTATACGTCACGCACAGTGTTGAAACTTCGTTGTGAATGTATTGTTATTTGCACAAAATTAACAATATATTGTGCAAATTAGCTTAACACAAATTGCACAATCCCACAATAAACTGCACAATCAAATTTATATAATATTTATTAGAATTGATGCGCGATTCATTTGCATAAAAGTTTAGATAACGTTTTATGCACAAATTTTTTGTGCCGAATTTTCAACACTGGTCACGTATAATCAGCATATTTAACGGTAATTGCAGTAGAATTTTTCAGTTAGAGCAGCAGAATCCTGGATACCCTAATCCGGATCAGATCGATTTCACATCTCTAGTTCCAGTACGTGATTACTCAAATGTCGCATAAACAACTTGATTTTCTAGTTCTTATTAACCCAATATGCTATAACACCTGCAGTAAGAAAGTCTTACAGCTATTGTTAGCCCAGATATCCATAGTAAGGAATATTTTGTTTGAATTATTTATTAATGTATTTTTAATAAGGTTCTGACATTGAGTGTTGATTCAATAAATCACGCTTGACTGTTTCAGTAGAAGAGATCAATTTATCTATCTTAATTACCTTAACTACCTTCAGAAACTGTTTGATTCATTCGGTCAATACTTCTCTATATTTAACTAAGGAATGATTTTACGGATCATATACTTTAAATATTCATAGGTTACATTTTAAAACTTTGTATTACCGATATAAATAAGTAAATCCCCTATAAAATTGAATTCACAATTCGTTGACAGCCCGGACTTGTAACTAATTCCATTTCCTAGCTGTTTTATCAATGACGGAATCGTTATCGGTAACTTCCAAACCGAAGAAAGTATGCCTCTCATACACAGGTATAGTTATATGCCTTTTTTTTAGTTGCTTTTCAAACTGTAATATTCTAATACTCGCAAATTCTAGGTGGTAAAGACTGCACTCTAACATTACATCTATTATCCGCTCAACCTGAAAAATATAATATTGTCTCACTCATAACATTTACTCCTGCGGCTTCTAAACCATTTCTCGCTCATCCGCAGCATTTGATAAAGCTTCAATCCCAGGCTCTTACTCTTCCTCATCAATTTTTATCTGTCACACCACCATATGTAGAATCTTACCGTTCTCTAATAGTTTCATGTAACATTGATGGTTTAGCAACAGGGGATATTCTTGACGTTTGTAACCGGTTTATGGACCGTGTTGTTGAGAGTACAGATATCGAGTTAGTACGTCCACTCTGGGAACGTGAAAGGACAGAGTTAATTGAAGAAATATTTAAATTTGAATTTGAAGTTTTAATAAGTTGCGTAAATTTAGAA